GCAGAATCCCCACAGACAGAGAGTATCGAAAGATGAAGCAATCAAGTTATTTAACTCTACTAGAGTTTTGGCACTCTGCCTTGTGAGGGCACTCTGCCTTCATGAAAAAATAAGCTAGCCATGTCATCGTCCCGGACTCGGATGGCGATCCCACCTGGTCACCTTCTGAGACGGAGGCCAGCCATCAAACACTCGACAAGAGCTCTGGCGAATTCCCGGGTGTACTCCTCTGACATCTGAAGCTCTTCATGACGACCGGTGTATCTGGGACCATCTCGATCAACACAACCGCCATGGCCTAGGGTATGGCTCGGAAACTCACGTGCCATGTCAAGAATTCTACTGTGGGTGCTAACCAGTTGCAGCGGCTTCGGAGTGTTAAGGCCGAAGGCTCCACCATAAGTTTTCACACTCGTAGACTGAAGCAATCTCGTCATAACAAAATCGACGAGTGGAATCACGAAGAAGCAGCTGGAGCAAGGCTGCTCGATCACAACTTGGTTTCCATTGAGGCCCCCGAGGATGGCCAACAGCAACGTCACATACATGAGTTCATTGCCTTCCTGACAAGCCAACGACTGGGATTCATCTCCCATCCAGCCATTTTCCTGGCTTCTTTTTGTACTGTACCTGCAGATTTTGACAAAGGAAGAGCATGGAGTTCCAAACCACAGCAAGGCTCCCGAATGTGTTTCCAACACAGCATTGATGGCCAAACGAAGTCCTCGGACAGAAAGAAGATTATGATCTGTGCCATATTTGATATCCACAGCCACCCCTTCCCAGCCATCGCGAAGCAGCTCCCGACTCAGATTGCCATTCCCAGCAAAGAATTCCACAAAGTGATACTTGGCACTCTGCCTTACACGTCGCTGATAATGACAAAAGTTGATGAATAATTTCATCTGAGTCTTCCATGGCCATGAAGCCATGCTGGGAAAAGTTTCTGCCAACATCTGTTGCCAGATTGCAGTCATCCAGGAAAACCCCTGCTCATGAAGCCATTCCTCCCAGCGGGGCATCTCGACAATTTCATCTTGTCGTTCGTTCATGAAGTCATTCCACGAGGACGAGGGAATTTCACAAAGATACAGCATATCTTGTCCTCTCGAAATTTTCAAGAATTTCTTCTCCAGTCGGATGTTTGCCCGCTGCATGGCCTGGATTTCCTCTTCAATTGCAGCTGGTTGGTTCCTTGAAGTGCCTGGAACAGAGTTGCTCCTGATCCTGGCACTCTGCCTTCTCCCATTTTCAGCTACTTGCCGCTCTGAACTGCCTGGAACAGAGTCGCCTGTGTTGCTGGCACTCTGCCTTCCCCGTGGTTCCGTGTTCGACATGGCTGGTTGCTACACGGAAAGAATGAGTCAGTGTCACCAGGGTTCGGGGTTTAATAATAAGGGTCTTGAATGGTAAATAGGTAGATCCAATTCCCAAATCATTATGTCATTGTTGCACCAATCAACACATGCAGCATTATGACACACACACACACATTCCTATTTCATCATGGAGCTGACAGTCTTTTAGTTAGCCATTTGCTTGATCCATGCCACGATGAAATGAGACAGACATGACATCAATCCGTCAATGTTCAGACATGTTACTTGTTACAATATGTGATGTTCAGGGAATAAGGCAGCAGTCCAGACCACAAATGCAATTCTCGCCCTGCCAATTTTCCTGACACTGCACACAGCAGCAGGCCACATCATGGCAATCCAATCACACAGCTGTAAAGTTGAGGTGAAACCTTAAAAGCCTTAGCAACACCATCGGCACTCTGCCTTTTTTGATGATGGATGCTTCCGGTATCACTCGTCGTCATCCATGTCAACAAGAGAATAATCTGTGGAGCTTTTCCCCGAGTGCATTGGATCTTCATCAGAATCTTCACTGAGAATAGATTCCAAGTCCATCCCCACTGGCACTCTGTCGGGGCCACCACCTGGCAATCCGCCTTCCATCCCCAGGGGCACTCTGCCTTCCAACACATCCCTGGCTTCCTCATCTAGCTCTCTGACAAGTTCATCGCCACTGTTGGGGCCACCACCTGGCGATCCGCCTTCAGGAATGCCTTCAAGAGTGCCACCACGTGGCATTCTGCGTTTAGGAGCGCCACCACGTGGCACT